GGGGTCTGCCTGCCCTCCGGCGGCCAGGGCCCCGCGTCCGGGACGCCCACACCCACAGGGACCGACTGGGGCCCGGCAGGCCCATCCCGGGCTCGGGAAGGAGGACGCCACGCGGCGGGGGCAGCCGGCACAGGTGCGCGGGGCCGGGCGCTACTCACACTCGCTGCTGACCAGACGCTCCAGCATCCGCCGCTGCTTCTGCAGGGACTTGGGGACGGGGCCTGGCGGCGCGCCTCCATCTGCAGGGAACGGGGGCACTGAGTTAGGAGGCGGGCCGTCCTCTCGTGCCCCACGGGCTCCCGGAGTGTGCAGAGTCTGGGCCTCCGCACCTCCAGCTGCCAGGCAGCCTTGGCGCCCCCAGCGAGCCCCCACGTGGTGGCAGGCACAGCCTGTCTCCGCAGTGGCCGTGGTCGTGGAGCACTGGGCGTGGCACCCTCTGGTCTGCTCGAGGAGAACACCTCAGCCAGGCCGGTGCGGCCCTCCTGCCCGTGCGGCATCCACACATCTCTGCCCGGGGCCTCGTCCCCACACGCAGGCCCAGGGCCCACGAGAAAGGCGTGGTCCCCAGGGAAGGCTGCCGTCCTCGCAGGGAAGGCCCGGTCCCCACGGGAAGGCCATGATCTCCACAGGGAAGGCCCCGGTCCCCCAGAGTGGGCCCCGTCCCCACGAGAAGGTGCATACCGTGCTCGTCGACCTGGCCGACGTTCTCCAGCAGCTCTGACACAGCCACCTGCTTCTTCTTCTTGGGGTTGAGCTTCCAGTACATGACCAGGGCCGCCTTGCGCACGGCCCTCTCCAGGTCGGTCTCGGAGGAAAGCTGCCGCACCTCCTGCTCGTTCTCTGACGTGATGCCTGGAGACAGGGCCGGTGAGGGCCTCGGCCCGCCTGCAGCCGTCAGTGCTGCTCCCAGCCCCCGCCGGCTCCGCCCGGGAGAGTGGGGAAGGCGACCCGGGAAGGCTGCTGGGACCCTTGGTGACCAGGACAGGATGTCCGAGCGAAGCCCCTGCCGGCACCCACTCTCCGGGCCAGAGGCCCAGCCAGCGGCCTGGCTGGTCGTGCAGCACATGCCCCCGCATGTCCGCTGGGTCCACATGGATGTGCAGAAGGCTCCGTCCCCTGCTCACCGCTCTCTCACTTCACCCCCAGGACCCTCCCACAGGTGCTACGCGCCCTGGCTCCCAGGTGCAGACACCAACACACACGGTAGCGTCCCGACTTGCCCAGGCCGCAGAGGCAGAAAGAGGCAGCGTGGCCTCGAACCTGGGTCAGTCCCACTGCCGTGACCACTCCAGGTGCCACGGCGGGCCGCTGTGCCATGGCGCACCATGGGCACGGGCTCCTCTGGCCCCTCGTCTCACACGCTGTCTGGCCTTTTCCGAGGCGGACAAAGACTCAGTCCATGGCGGGAGGGAGTGGGTTTCGTGGCTGCGCAGCAGCCGCTTTCCGCCCTCCACTCCAAGGCGAATCTGTCGCTCCTTTGAAACACTTTCTGAGCCTTCCACGTGAGCATATACTTATGTCTTGTCCAATCAGAAAGCGCTCAATGTGAGGGTGAGGCTGAGGGACGTGGAAGGCCCGCCCTGCCTCCTGCCTGGCACCCCGGGGCCTCTGCCCCGGCCCCGGGGGAACACAGGCTCCTGAGAACTGGCCGTGTGGGCTGCACTCACCCGCCCCAGCCCGCTCAGGCCTTCCCGCCTGCTCCAGAATGGGGCAGCCAGGTGGGTGAGAAAGTCGGCTCCATTTGTCCAAAAACATCAGCCTAATCTTCAAAGAAGCAAGATTCCATATAACTTAAAACGTTATGATACGAGTCAGAAGGAAACACACCAAAATACGGAGTACTTCTCTCTGAGTTTCAAGGTTATGAGTAATTTGTATCTTTACATTTTCTGTATATTCCAAGATTTCTACGATAAGCATAAAATACTTTTGAAAGCTGAAAAAATATGCATCGTTTACAAAAACACCTTTGTAGTCCCAGCTATCTGGGAGGCTGCGGCAGGGGGATCACTCGAGCCCAGGAGTTCCAGGACTAGCCTGGACGAAACAGCAAGATCCTAACTCAGAAACAAAAAGCACCCATGCGAAACTCACTTTCCTCTTTCCCCATGGCACGGCGCCCTTGGGAAGCTCAGTGCCTCGTGGCACCAGGGGCAGCGACTCCCTGGGGGTGGGATGAGGCTATCACCGGCCACGCTTGGCCTGGGCCGCGTGCCCGCCGCCTCCTTGTCCCTCTCCCCGCAGTCGCCCACCGCCCGCTCCTCCGCAGGTCTTCACAGGCTGCATGCCCCCTCGGACCGCCCTGACTGACCGCAGGCCACGGGACAGGCCCTCCTCGGCTGGCTGCCGGATGGACGTCTCAGTTACGACCAGAACCCGGCAGGGAAAGGGGCTGTCACACCACGAGCCAAGAGGAGTGGAAACGGCCCGGCTGGCCAAATATCCCAAGTCAGGGTCCAGAAACAACATGCAAATGACAAGGCCACGAGCAAAACAGAAGCGCCCTCACTTCCAGCAGCGTCACCAGCATTAGGTTTCCTGGTGCTCACGTTTTCGTTGTTGCCCAGTGAGCACGCAGCACGGCAGCCCGCGTGCCCTCGGCGCCAGGCTCGGCCCCACGCAGACCCACCTTTCCTGTCCGCCAAGCACCGGCGAAGGAGCTTCACTGCTTCTCGCCGGCCCTGCTTTGCGGCGAGGATCAGCCAGTCCACGGCGGTGCAATTGTTGAGCTCCTCATCTGCGTCAAGGGCCAAGTGCAGGTAGCGCTTCCCCACCTGAAGCCAGACACGGTCAGCCCCAGCTCCTCGGACCCCTCCGCCCACCTCCCGGCCAGAACCCCCCTCCACCCTCTCCCCGCCATCACCCAGGGCAGGAAAAGGGGTGGGAATGGGAAAGGGATTTTCTGGGCGTCTACTGGAGGCTGGCTCTGTCGGCTCTGGGCACCCACCCCCCGCCCACCGTGACGTGAGGCAGGTGTGCCCCCCTGCAGAGTGAGGGAGCCCGGGCTGCAAGGTGCATGGACTCTCTTCCTTGAGCTGACCCTGCCTCCTGGGGGCTGGCGGCTCACCGTCAGCGGGTGGAAACTCAGAATTGTGATGGGGTCTATCCACTGCCTCTCAAAGCAGTTGGGGGACCACAGGAAGTTAGGGCTGAAGGGAGGTCGGCTAGCCAGGGACTGGCACTGACCCACGGGCCAAATCTGGCCCACTGCCTGCTTTATACCTAAAGCTTTACTGGAACATAACTGTGGCTGTGGCGATGCTGACTAGTGAAAACAGAGAACACACAGAGTCCAAAATATTTACTGTCTGGCCCTTTGCCAAACAAAGCTTGCTGCCACGGTCCAACCACCTCCTTCTGTAGGTGGAAAGAGTGGGACCTGTGAGGCCCAGAGCAGGGGAAGGGCTCGGGCAGCAGGTGGGTGGAGAAGCTTTAACGCACAACAAGCCCCAAAGGCAGGAGAAGGAGACTCTTCATCCATCATTTGACACGGAAGTGCTGCTGCCCCTTAGGGAGGAAGGGGCAGAGGACTGCCTGGATGACTGGTTACCTACTTGAGCAACGCGCAAAGGGACACGCCCATGTGGCCTCTGAGCCCTCTGGGAAGATGGCGGTGACCCCCTCCCTCAGGGCTGGCTGGGTGGGGGAGAGGTGGCCCACAGAGGCCCTGGGCACGAAGCCACGCCCGGAGGCCACGCCCTTCTCCTCCCAGGGCCACAGGTTCCCTGGGCAACACGAGGGGCTGGACGTGGGGCCCCCATTCCAACATGCTAGGCCCCGGCCGAGAAGGGTGCCAGGGTGCAGCTGGCAGGTCTTGCTGGCTGCAGACCTGGGTGGGAAGCCCCGGGCGACCACCTCTGAGCTGTGTGAATGCGGGCAAATCGCTGAAACCTGCTGGCTTGAGGTTCACACTAAGAGTGGGAGCGAGCCTTCTCATCCCAAGGACACGCTGAGGACGAGACGAGATGACCACCCAGGGCAGCACCCCCCACGTCCCCCTTCCTCGGGCGCCTGGGTCCCTGAGACCCGCCAAGCTCTCTCCCGCCTCCGCCCCCGCTGGCAATCCTCCCGCCCTGCACTGCCCCAGGGTGCGCGGCCAGTCACCAGCTGAGGAGGTGGCCCCCCCTCAGAAGACCCTGGACCCTGCCACCTCCTGCCTCGGCCTCCCGCTGCTTTCTCTCCTGACCGTGATTCGGAATAATCTTATTTGTCTGTGCACCGTCACCTGTGGGGACAGGGCCGGCATCTGCGAGGCTCACGCCCACATGTCCAGCCCTGACACAGAGCCTGGCCCCTGGCAGACGCCAAGAGGGGAGGATGGGCAGGAAGGGAGGGCATCTGGAGGAGGCAAGGCCCGAGGCCGGTGTCAGCTGCACGAGGGGGACAAGGACTGCTCCCCAGAGGCTTCTGGGAGGACGTTCCCAGTGAGCGTGGGAACTTGCCCAACGGGGCAAGGAGGCACACCACGGGCGCCCTGCCCAATTCCCGGACACTGACTCTGCTCTGGGGCCTCGGAGCTCTCAGCCGAGCTCACCGTGCTGGGGCCGCGTCCTACGTTCCCCAAAGACACGGTGGTCCTCACCTCTGTCTGTGCCTTGGGGTCCCCAGCTTTGGCTTTCTCCAGGACTTCTTCAAAGGGGAGCTCCACATCTCCCTTCGCAGGCGCTTGGCATGGAAGAAACAAACAACGTCACGAAGCCATACAGGAGTGGAGGGCATGCAAGGCGGAGGTGCTGCTTCTGCCCTGAGGACCCAGGCCGGGGGCCGGCAACAGGCAGGACAGAGAAGACACGAAACCGCCATCCGCCTCCCAATGGCACAAAAAGCCCGGCCACGCCGGCAAACTCCACCCTGTGGGTGGCAGGTGCGGGAAGGTGGGGCACAGACCTCATCCAGCCCGCCGCCACCCCCTAAGCTCTCGCCGGGGCTCAAGTGTGAAGGCCCGCGACGGAAGTGATAAGAAAGAACCTGCCCCCATGCCCGGCGCCCCAGCAGGTCCAGCTTCTGTTGTCTGTGACTGTCATGGACAGACACGGTTTTGGAGTTGTGATCAGTGTGCATACGTTTTGATCTTAACGTTTTTTGGCTAAGAGTGAGTATCTTAGTCTGTTCAGGACGTTATGACAAAAAATCCATACACTGGGTGGCTTATAAACTACAGAAATTTGTTTCTCACAGTTCTGGAGGCTAGAAGTCCCAGATCAAGGCGCCACACTTTGGCATCTGGTGAGGGCCCCGTCTTGGCGCCAGTCTCTTCACTGCGTCCTCACCCGGCAAAAGGGGAGAGGAGCTCTCTGGGTCTGTTTTGTAAGGGTGCTCATCATCCCATCATGAGGGCTCCACTCGTGCGACCTCATCGCCTCCAAAGGCTCCGCCTCTAACAGTTCATGCCGGGGTATGAGTTTCGGCATGTAAATTGGGGGGGTTACGAACTTTCAGTTCGTAGCAGCGAATTATTCTCAATTTCCCACACTCGGGTCATCGTTTCCACGGCTCATAGATCCCCTCACGAAGACATTCAGGTGACAGGTCCCTTCCTCTCCCTCAGGCCTATAGGTTGCTCCCAATAATCCCTTGCCTTATAAAATGGTGCCACGTGTGCATGCTTTTTTCCCCTTTGGGAAGTTGTCTTCCCGGCCCAGGCTGTCCAGGTGAAGTACTAGGCCGAGGGTCCAGATGTCACTATGGCTTATTCTGCATTTCGCTTCCTGAAAAGTTGTCTCAATTCACAAACGCATCGTGCAGCTTCCTCAGTTTCTCCACTGCCTTCTGACGAGGGGAAACTGCACACGGGCCCAGACCCCCATGCAGGGCCAGTCTTTTCTGTCGGGTTCAGCAGGGCTCTCCCAGAACCAGCAGGGGCCGGCTCCGCGCGGCTCCAAGCCGCCTGTCCCTGCCTCCGGGGCCAAGTTTCCAGGAGACGGGACTCTGCAGGAAGCAGGACGGATGGCTCGCAGGTGTGGTGGCAGCTGAGAACGGGCAGGTGAGGGGTATGTTCGGGGAAGGGGCACTCAGGCGTTCTCTGCCAGGCCTCCCGGCCAGCCCGCGCACCCTGGCCCTCGGGGCGGGCAGCGTGCCAACATGGACGCCCCTCCTGCCATGTCTCACACTCCGTCTCCCGGCCGGGGTCCTCGGGGACAATGTGCAAAGGGGGCTGTAGGGCCCCCAGGGCAGCACGGTGGACACCCGCCCCCTCGGAGGGGCCCAGGCTGCCTGAGCCACCGAGGGTGGTGCTCTCTTCTCCTTGCTGTCAGTGCCGCGACGAGGCCCACGCGGGCCTGGCCACGGCTGGGCAGCGGCTGACATCCCGGGGAAGGACTGCGGACGCAAAGCCCTAGGTCCTGCGCCCGGGGGCCCCGCCCTGGGCTCCCCAGGGGCGTCAGCCTCGGAGGAACACTGACTTGACCCATGGGAAGGTGCTGTGTGACCCCACGCAGTCATGTCGCCTCTCTGAGGTGACTTCAATCCGGCCGTTGTCACGGACCCCACAGGACGGCTTAGGATGAAACAAGACGCTCCTGCTGAGCGACTGGCCGGAGCGGCGTTCACTCCCCAGATATGACCGCCTTCCCCCTCCCCTCTTCACGCTGACACTGAACTTCCCGAGGCCAGCCCCTCTTACGAGTGCAAATCTCTTCCTGACTAAATATACAGGTCACGTCATTATTTTTTTCCTTTTAAAAAATCAGAATATAGAAGAATCAAGCCATGTCTGTGGGCGAAGAAGATTCTCCTAGTCCATGATTAATTTTTCACAGCAGTTATTCGTAGCCTGGCATTTTAAGACGTCTCCCCCAATACGCGGCATCTCCGCACACCCCCCTTCTCCACAATCCCAGCTTCCGCTTGCCGCCGTGGAAATGGCACTACAGGCACCCAGGCGCCAGGCTCACACCGCAGGCAGTCAGCAGGTTCTGGCTCGCTCACATAAGCAGAAGCCTTCTCATGGGTCAGAGACAAAAGCCCACCCTCAATCCCAAGAGCACTCCAGAAGCTGGTTGCAACGGCGCGGCCCTCCAAGGACCACAAAACACACAGCCTTTCTGCGTCCACCCTCTACTCCTTGCGTTTCCTGGTAACAGCGCCTCGATGCCCCTTGGGGGAACCCCCGCCCTCCCCGACGCTCGGTCCTCGAGGTCTGGAGCTGTGGGAGGGCCCACCCGCCCCTGGCCAAGCAGAGCTCCCTGACCACAGCACCCGGTTCCAGGACGGACACAGACCCAAGTCAGACTCCCTGATTTGGACAGGTGTGCCACAGAGACAGAAGGGTGGAAGGAAGGTTCTGTGCACGTGAGCCTCAGACCCACCCCGGGGTGGTGCCAGGTGTCCCTTCCCAAAAGCGAGCCCCACAATGGGCCGGGCCGGCCAGTGGGCTCCCACATCCACATGGCTGACACTAACCAGACCTGCCTCTGTGCGTTGTGGATGCAGGCCCAGTGCCCTGAGAAGGCAGTCTGAATCGCAAGGTCAACAAGTGGGACGTGACCCGTCTCTAGGGCGCTGCTGCCTCTCGGTTCCTCCCCCGCTGCCCTGGGCAGGGCCTTGGCGCCTCTCTGCTCCGCTGACACCCCCCACCAGGCGCTGAGGGGAAGGTGGAAGCAGAAGAGGGTGCACCACGTGCTGTCATCACCCTGGCGCTAGACACAGGGCACCGGTCTCGGGCCAAGGGTCGTCCCACACGCGGGGCAGCTGGGGTCACCTCACACCGAGGGGGCGCCCCACACACGAGCAGCTGAGACCACCTGCCCCAAGGGGTATCCCATAAGCCTTCACGATGCTAACGCTGGTTCGCTCTTCCCGGGGCTGGCTGAGCTGAGGCACAGGCAGAGGCAGACAGCCATCTGGGGGTCTTGGCCGGGGGGGTTCCTCCTTCTAGCAGGCCCCTGCAGGGACTGTGGCCTCAGCCCCCGTCACTGACTCTCCAGACGCCTCCTGAGCACTGGCCCCATGCCAAGAGCCAGGGTTCCAGGTGGAGAGAGGCGAGACTCTTGCCTTCGGGGAGGCCTGCCCCGGGGCCAGGTAGGATGATTCGGCACCACCTGTGAGGGCACGGGTTGTGCAGGTGACCCGAGGCATCCGCCCTGACAGCAGGAGGCTTCCTGGAGGTGGCACCCAAGGTTTGGAGCCCAAGTAGGAGACTAAAGGTAACAAGCAACAGGCACATCCTCATGCTTCCAGAAGACTCGGGAAGCATCCATGCGGTCGACCCCAAACAGGACCAGGGCCGCTCCTTCTTCCACAAAAAACGCTGTCCTGATGAAACCCCTCTGACGACGCCCAGCCCGCTCACGACTCCCCCTCCCTTCCCTGACCCTGGGGCCTGCTGGGCCTGGCAGATCCCCAGGGGTCTCCAGACCCCTGCAAGGCTCCCTGTCTGCCCAAGTCCCTCTGCTCCTGACCCAGTGGCTGGGTGGGTGGCGCCGGCCTGGTCCACACGTCCCAGAGGCCACACGGCTCTACCAGGGCTCCTGCCCCGGGCTCATCTGTGTCGGATGGGCAGGCTGCCCGTCACGGCGGCCATAGAGCAGCACAGCGCCGCCAGTGAGGCCGGCAATGAGGGCGTCTCCGCAGGGAGTGCATGGCAGGCACCCCCCCAGAGCGCCCGGGTCTCGCCACATCCTCCTTGCAGGGACCCGTGGCCCTCCCAGCAGCCCCGCGAGCTGCAGACTCCCAGGACCCCAGCGGCTCACAGCAGGAGGTGCATGCTTCATACACATGCAGCACACACTAGCCACAGTGCACCCGGCCCGGGTGCAGGCCCACGAAACACGGTCTGTGCTCCTTCCTCCCACCTGCAGCGGCCTAGGCCTCTGTGTGGCAACCGGGCCCTGAGCCCCAGATGGAGCACACCACCGCTTCCCCACTGGCCACGAGCACCTGTAGGCCAGGGCGCGTGTCCCAGCCCTCTCCAGCGCGGCACTAACGGGCTTTCGGCCAGGTGTGTGGCCTTGCGAGACAGTGCGATGGCAGTCTGGCACGGCTGGCATCCCCTCGGCCCCTGCCTGTGCCTGCTGGGTCCCCTGGTCCCAGGTGTGATGAGCCCAGCTGCATTCCTAAGTTGAACAGGACAACATGCACCCACAGGGCTGAAGACAAAGGACTCAGGTCACAGCCACCTGTGAAGAAACAGCCCCACCCATCAGCTACAGTGGCACTGGCCAGGCGGGGGAGGGCTCGGGCCCACTGGATGTGGCTTGGGAGGCTCAGCCTGGCCAAAAATCAGCCGACACACGTTGGCGTGTGGGTGTCCTCGCTCCACCCTGCGCCTCGCAACTCCTGTGCCACCGTCCTCCTCACCTGCCCGGCCCAGGAGCATCTGGGTGTCTAAGCCCTGACCCTCATCCGCTGCAGCTTCCCACGTGGCGGGTGACTTGCCAAGGCCACAGAGCTGAGGCCAGAAGTGCGAGGCTCCATCCCCGCAAAGTTTCTACTGCAGCCCCTCGTCCACCTTGCTTTGGGGAAGGCCAAGAAGGTGTCCTTGGGGAGGCCGCGGAGAAGGGGAAGCCCAGGGCAGCTCTGGTCCTCTTTCCCAAGTGCACAGGCCAAGGGAAAGCTCACACGGTGCCTCCTCCAGGCAGCCCTCCTGATGCCCCGGGGGGCTGCAAAGTAGGTCATTCTCAGACCTCAGGGCGCAGTTACTTCTTCACTCCTGTCCCCCCACTTGCCAGGGGCACCTGGAGGGCAGACCTGAGCCTCTGCCCCTCTGTCACAGAGCCTGGCCAGACCCCACTCTGGGGACAGGCCAACCTGCTCCATGTACCTCTCTGAGCCTGTGACGTGGGGCTCCCGGGGTGCAGCTGGCCTGAGGCTCCGGGTGCACTGTGGGTCACAGTGTCACTGGCAGCCCATCACAGCGTGTGAGCACAGGCTCACAGGCTCTGGGTTCAAGTCTCCACCTCGCCCCTCGGCAGCTAGGAGAGCCGGAGTTACCCACTTGCCCTCTCCTCCCTTGGTTTTCTCGTCTGGAAAACGGGGACTCCCAGGGCTGATGGAGGGGCGGCTGGGCAGGCGGCCCGAAAGGTGCCAGGCCGGGGGCTGCCACGCAGACATGCGCTCTGGCGGCTGCCCGCTGGTTTCAACGGAGGCGCTTTGCTGGGTGGGCGGGGAGCTGAAGGACCGGGACAGGATGGCAGGCACTCGGGCCTCCCTCCCCACAGCCCTTGAGCCTACGTCAGTGGCCAGCGACCGGGAGCGGCCACGAGCACTGCCCCCAGCGGCATTGCCCAGGTGCACCTAGCGGTCATCTTCGCCCCCCACCCCGAGGGCAGAAGCCAAACCGGCCACGTCTGCTTCCCGACTCTCGACTCTCCTTATCTGAGACGCTGTGCACTCCCAGACTGAAAAAGAGGCTCCGCGCCCAGGTCTCCAGGTCTCAGTCTCCCACCAGCAGTGGAGGGGGCGGGCCCAGACACAGGCCTCCCAAGGAGACAGAGGGGAGGAGCACGGTGCTCTCGTCAGGAGACGCAAAGACAACGAGCACACGCTGGTGAGCTTCCCAGGGCGGAGGGCAGGCCCGGCACGGAAGCACATGGCAGCCTCGGCCGCCGTGCTTGGAGCCGGGAGCCCCGCGGCTCGGCCAGAGGGGTGATCGGAGCAAGGAGGACGCTCGGCACTACCCTGCGCCACCCACCAGCGGCTCACCGGAAAGCCACTTCGACTCAGCGCCTCAGTTTCCCCTCAGAGGCACAGGCCAGGGTGGGCGCGCACCACACGCACGCACCGTGGATGTAGGGCCTCTGCATGAGCTGGGGGTGACTGCTGGGCGGCGGCCTCTCTGGGGAGCGAGGAGGCGACCCGGGCCGAAGGGGCCCGAGAGGGGCCCGAGGCTGAGCAGGGCGGGGGCTGGGACCCCCGCCCTCACACCCCCTGCCCAGCACCAACAGAGCCTCCGGTCCCCTTGGCCTGTGACCCGAGGGCTCAGCGTCCCTCGCAGGGGGAGGGAACGGGTACCCCCACAGGCAGTACACGGGCCTCCCCCACCCTCGGGGAGGGCAGAAGCCCAGCACCAGGGCTGCACCCCACATGGCCGGCTCCCGCAAGCACAGTCACTGCCACCGGTCACCGAGCCCAGGGCGGCGGGAGCACCATCCCAGCAGGACACGCCCAGAGGAGCAGGGTGCTCGTCCACACACCTCCAGGACGACCCCGGCAGTGCCCGCTGCACGGTGAAAGGTGCAAGGGGGAAGGCTCTGAGCAGGCGGGAGGCCCCAGCTGGCACAAGCGGGAGCGGCAGAGCCTGCACCGCTGGGGTCCAGGGGGGGAGCCTCGGGTGGCGAGACCCGGTGCCCACCCTGCCATCCCTGAACAGCCCTGGCCTGGGCCTCCCGGCCGCCTCCTTACCAGCTCCATCCGCTCTGTCTCGGCTCCTGGCGTGCTGGGCCCAGGACTCGGCTGGGGCAGCTGTGTCTCCAGCGCTGGGCCTGGGGGCCTGGGGCACGTCCCTTCCGTCCTGCTCCATCGAGGCTGTGGCGTTGAGCCGGGAGCGGGCCTGGGGCTGCGGCGCTGGCGGGGGCTGGGGGTGGGCGTGGCCCGAGGGAGCAGTGACGGGGTCCATCCTGCAGGCAGAAGAGCCACGGTCAGACACACCAGGCCAGCCTCGGCCCATCTGGCATTCGGCATTTGGGGAAGAAAGGAAAGCAGAGGGAGGTGGGGAGCCCTGGACGCAGAGCCTAGCTGCGTGGGGTCTCGGTTCGGCAGACCACAGTCCCGCTGGCCAGCCCTGCTCTCTGGAGGAGAAACCGAGGACGGCCGCCCAGCTCCATGGACCACGCAGCAGTTCTGATCTCAGGCCCTCACAAGACTCAAGCCACGCCACCTTGAACTTCGGTGTCCTGGCCTGAGACGTGGGATGGCGAGGACCCTCAGAGCCATTCGCGTGGAACCCTGGCCATGGGGCCAAGACACGACGTGCCTACCGAGATCTGCGGACATGACCTTGTTCGGCAACGGGGCTCTGCGGACACAACCAAGGATCTTGAGATGAGACCACCTGGGATGTGGGCGGCCCCGAAGCCAACAGCTGGTGTCTGCACGGGAGGAGACAGAGCCACAAGGAGAAGGCCACGTGGACAGGGCCACGGAGACTGGGGGCACAGCCCCAGGCTGAGGGGTGCGTGAGGCTTGCCAGCCACCACCAGGAGCCGGGGCGTGTGGGGAGCCGCGCCGAGCCCGCAGCCTCCAGCAGGCTGCCTGCACCTCGGTTCTGGATTCTGCCTACAGCCGGAGGGAAGTTCTGTTCTCTCAGGCCACCGCGCTTCAGCCATTTCGTACGGAGGCCCTAGGAAACGCACGCACTGGCGGAATAAAAGCTAATAAACGTGAAAGAGGAGGGGAGGCCCTGGGGGAGGGGTGACGAGGAGGGGGAGGGGAATCCCGGCAGGTGGGGCCGGGATTCAGACCAGGCCTGCGACTCCAGAGTCCTCCGCACAGCCCGAGCCACAGGACAGACGGCATAGAGCTTTGGCCCTCCAGGTATCCACACACGCTACAAAGCAAACAAAGGCAAACCGGGCGGCGTGGGGTCAGAAGAGCCTGGGGTGTGGGGATCCTGCCACACGCGTCACGCCAAGGGGAAAGGGCTATATTCCATCCGACAGAGGGTCCTCCCAGGCTGCTGAGCAGCAGGGAAAAACACCACCGTCCACAGAATCAAAGGCCACCATGAGCCACAGACCACGGAGCCAAAAGCACGGCAGGCTCCCGAGCCCCACGTCCCCAGTCCCGGGTCTTGGATGGGTGGGAGGTATGGGGGGTGGAAAAACCCTGACCCGTGAAATCGTCGGGCTCATGTGTACATGTGGGCTGGGGAGACCCTTCCTCGGATCCCCAAGCGCCCCTCCCCAAACTCAAGGCCTCCTCCACCCCAAGCACAGAGCACCGAGCAGCTGGTCCCTGGAGAACCTGGCTCCAACTTGGCACAGTCCTGCACTCCTGGCTCTGTGCCCACCAGCCGAGGGGACCTGAGCAGCCACGTCCCTCTCTCAAGCCCAGTCTCCTCGTCTGTAAACGGGATGCCCACGCCACCCTCGGGGCAACGGAGAGGACCAGTGAGCCTGGACACCAAGGGCCACAAAAGCGGCCAGTGTCCCGGCCGTCTAGGAACACCGGCCCCTGGCTCCGAGCCTGGCCCCAGGAGGTGCTCAGCAGAGGTTTCTGGGTCTGTAGTAGCTAGAAGTCAGGAGTGGCCCGGGCGCCGGACACAACCATTTCTGCTCTAATCTCAGCTGCAAACCAGTCCTAAGGATCAGATATGCGTCCCTCCGCCCTGAACACTGCAGACTTCAAACTGGCACTCCTCCCTCAGGGGTACTGAGCCCCTATTTTATTTTATATTTATTTATTTATTTATTTTGAGTTGGAGTCTCACTCCGTCGCCCAGACTGGAGGGCAGCGGCCGCTCCCGGCCACCACAACCTCGATCTGCTGGGCCCGGCGATCCTTCCGCCTCAGCCTTCCAAGTAGCTGGAACTACAGGCGCGCGCTACCACGCCCAGCTAATTTTTTTGACTTATTGTAGAGATGAGGTCTTGCCGAGTTGCTCACGTGGGTCTCGAACCTGTGCGCTCAGGCACTCCACTCCCCTCAGTCTCCCAAAGCACAGGATGACAGGCAGAGCCACCGAGCCGGCTTGAGCCTCTGTTTTAAAACTGGCCCCGGGCAACCCCTTTGGGCCCCCTCCTGCCTGGGAGCTTCTGCTGTCCTCTCAATAATTCCTGCTTTCTCACTTAAAAAACAAACAAATAAATAAACAAACAAACAGGCCCCAGAGGCAACCAGGCATGGTTGTGCCTTGTGACCCTGGTCAGTGCTGTCTCCAAACTCTAAGCTCCCAGGAACCGACACCCTCTGCAAAACCAGCCATTTACCTGCATGAGTGGACCAAGTGCATCCACAGCCGTGGGCAGGGAACTCAGGACCACACACAGAACCACACGTGGTGGGCAGACAAGCGGTCCTACGGGCCACCTGGGACGGCGAGGTCAGGTCTTCCAGTCACCCGTGGCCACATCCTACCTGGCATCTCCCGTGCGCCCACTGCCCTCAGATCAAGTGTCGCTTTCCTGGAAGGGCAGAGGGATGCGTGCCTCTCCGGAGGCTGCTGGGCCCGGGCACCTAGGCCACAGTAGTGACAGTTCTGTTCTCAGCATGCCACGGGCTCTTTCTCAGGGCCCTGGGAGATGAGTGCTACCCCCGTCCTGGCACTGGAGACAGAGGGGTTTTCATCCTTCAACCTCAGCCCGTGCATGCACAGGAGACTCGGTCCGGGGAGGCAGAGACCTGCCCGGGGCCACGCAGCTCGGGTGTGGGGCTGGAATCCACGTCCATACCAGCCGAGTGCTCAGCCTCCACAAGCTCGTCTCCGAAAAGGAGGCCGTGGAAGACCTGCGCCCCACTCCGCTCACTCTCCCGGCTCGTTCGTGCTCAAGCAGCGTGCAGCTGCACCCCCACCCGGCACCCCTCTTCCTGGAGGGCCCTCCCGTCCCTCTGCCCGTCCAGACCCCACGTCCTTCAGGCCAAAGGCTCCAGCAACGCCTCCTCTGTGGGAGTGCCCAAGCTGTCTGCGAGCCCTCGTCTTCCTCAGCGGCTCAAGCGACACCCAGCACCCGGTCACCGCCTCGCCACCAGACCCTCCCGCCGCTAGAGGGGCAGCGGTCAGCACACCGGCCAGCAGGACCCATCTTACGGCCAGCAGCAACCGGGCGTGAACAGCCTGTTCCAGCAGCTCTTGGCCTCACTGTGCCCGTGACCCCTTGCAAAACGGGGAACACCTCCATGGAGGGGTGCTCGAGAGGTTGAGGTCGTGACGGAAGAGGAGGCAATTCACAAACCGGGGGATTGAAAAAGCCCCCAGTCGCCACTCACGGGGCTAAGTAAGGGCATGTTCAGTGGGAAAAGACGTGGTCAGAGAAATTTCGGGAAAACAGAGGTTCTGGGGGGCTGAGAACTGCCGCGTCACACTGCAGTCAAGATAAGACTGTTCAGAGTAAAATCCTGGTGAGTGAGGAGGGACGAACCCGGAGGTTCGTGTCCGGTTCCCGGAGGGAAGGCCACGCCCGGTGCGGATCCTGTGATGCCGATACAAAGCGGTTCTGGGCCAGTCACAGGGGCCGTGAAGACCAGAGCAAGATCTCCCCGTAGAAGGATCCGTGGCGTCTGGCTCTGCCTTCTTCCCGTGACACTGTGAGTCCCAAGGGTGAGGGCTGCACCTCATTCATCTGGAAAGGCCTGCGGCCCTGCTGGGTACACACTAGGTGCTTAATACATGGGGCAGTTTGGCCGAGGAAGAGCATTCCGCAGGGATGAACGCTGTGTGACCTCAAGCAAGTCCCTCCCCGGGCCTGGTAGCCTTGACTGCAGCCCGCTCTGACCCCGCCTCCCTATGCAGGGGTCCGTTGGCCCCAGAGGGTGGGTCTGTCAGCCCCACTGCCCCTGACGACCGGAACAGTGGCTTGGAACCTATCATTGTGTAAGATCCAGAAAAGCCGAGTGGCTAGCATTCTTTCCCCATGAGCACCAAGGCGTATTTTTATCCTGTCCAAACACAAATGCCGGCACCAAGGAGCTCACTGAGGGGCTGGCCCCTAGAGAGGCTGGCACGGACCATACGGGCACCGAGACCTGCAACAGACTGACCACCTGTGGAGCTTTCTGACCAAAGTGCTCGGACCCGCATTCAGGTCGACCCCTGTTCTGCTCAGGAGGGTGAGGGGCAGCTGCACCTCCCAAGCAGCTCTCAGGGGAAGCTGAGAAGATATTCACACACTCTGACCAGTGCCTCAGAGCCTCGTCTCCAGGAAGCCAGCCCTGGGGAGTCACCAGAGATGCCCTCAGGGCTCCCACGCTGGTGTCCCTCACGGCAGTGCTTTTCAGCACCGTCCAGAGAGGACCCAGTTGTACAGTGTGCAGCCCTCCATATGGTGTGTCACTGACAGCTGTTAAACGTGATCTTGCACGTGAATGTTTAAGGACGAGGAAAATGTTTGTATAAGTCTGTTAAAGCAGGATGTAAAGCAGCAGAAGACAGTATCCTGAGACTGTTTAGGAAGAAAGGTGGACGAAAACGCCCCCAAAGAGGCAATTGCTATCTCTGGATAAAGGCGAAGGGTGGCTTTGTTTTATTCTTCTTTTAGCTGTACTTCCCTGATTTTCCACCGTGAAATGTGTCTGTGTGTCAAAACCTGTGTCATGAAAGCACATGTCATTTCACACCCATCTGTGACGGAGCCCTAAGGGAGCAGCCCGGCGGTGCTGGGGCTGGGATGCCTGCTCTGGCCCGGCCTGACCCGGCCCCTGGCACTGGGCTGCTCCTTAAGACAAGGACACAAAACCCTTGGTGAATCCCAGGTGCCTATTTTTGCCCAGAGTACTAAGGGCCAAACGGAGGAACAGTCCAGCTCCACCCAGAGTGGCACGTTCACAGAAACACAGGAGTCAAGTCAGGAATGCTTCCCGCGGTGAGTCCCCATCACACACCCGGCCCCAGCTCCATGCCTGACCCCAGCCGGTCAGCAGGCGTGGATGGGGGTCTGTGTCACGCCAGGCACCAGGCTGGGC